AATAGGAATACTAAATAGTATCCTACTTGGTAAAGGATTGTATTCTAGGGTCTATAAATAGGGTCTCAATGTAATAATGTAGACACGACAACAATTCAATAATATTCTTTTCCTATATTTCTCACATGGTCAAAAACCACCTATTCATCTCCCTTATTTGGTTGGAGAAGCTGCTAACGAGATGTTGACAGGTCCTTGGAAGCAAGAGAGGCAATTATTGAGTTGCTTAAGTTTCACATCAGTCGGGCACAACAAAGGATGAAGGACTTGGCTAACAAACATAGATCAGACAGGGTATTTGCAGTTGGTGACTGGGTGTATTTGAAGCTGCAACCTTATAGACAAGTTTCAGTGGCTGCTCGACCTTTCAACAAGCTAGCAGCAAAGTATTATGGCCCCTATATCATTGATGCACGGGTTGGTGCAATGGCCTATAAATTGTTGCTTCCTGTTGATGTGTTGATCCATCCCATTTTTCATGTTTCTCAGCTCAAGAGATACCATGAGGTGCCTCGGGACATTTCTCATCCTCCAGTCCTACAGCTTTCCAATCCGTACTGTCCGACGCCTGAAGCTATACTTGAGAGGAGGTTGGTGAAGAAGGGTAACAAAGCCGTGTGTCAAGTGCTTGTCCAGTGGTTAGGTTTGGAAGCTGATCAGGCAACTTGGGAATATCTTTCTGAATTGCAGCATAGATTTCCCTCTTTTCAGCCTTGAGGACAAGTCTGTTCTTTACGGAGGGGTATTGATACAAGTTAGCAAAAGGAGAACTAATCGATAACTAGCAAATTCTGTTAACAAGTCCAGAAGTTAGTTAGAACAGTTAGCACTGTTAGATGGTTAAATTATGTTATTACTGTAGCTGTGGATTTTATGGTTAAATTATGTTATTACTGTAGCTATGGATTTTAACTGTTTTAGCAATCTCTAGGAGCCTATAAAAGGATTGTATTAGATTATTGACATTCATTCATTTGATTGATAATAAGATTGTTTTCTTCTCTCTATATTTCTCTCTTTAGCTGAATTCTCGGTTTTAATCCCTGAACTAGCTGTTCATATTCCTCGAGATTACTCCTGGAATTTGTTTCTTCTCTGTAATTCTCTGTAATTGTATCATACTCTGACAGACTTCTTAACATAGCAAATCACGTCAGATTGTTGGGTTCCACTTTTAACGATTCAAGGATCATTGAGAAAATCCTTGTAACGATACGTGGAAGATTTGAGGCGACCATTACAATTTTAAGAAATACTAAAAACTTGTCCAATATTACACTAACAGAGCTCTTAAGTGCCTTTCAAGCACAAGAGCAATGGCGTGTTATGAGACAAGAAGGAGCGGTCGAAGGAGCCTTACCAACCAAGCATCAAGATGATGGATGATATAAGAAAAAGAAGAACAAGAAGTACCAACCAACAGATGGAGACGGTGCAGCACGCAACAACAAAAACAAAACAGGTAGTTTCAAAGGAAACTACCCTCCCTGTAAGCATTGTGGCAAGATCGGACACGCACCTTTCAAGTGTTGGAGAAGGCCTGATGCTAAGTGCAGTTTGTGCAATCAGTTTTGGCATGAAGCAATCATTTGTAAGAACAAAACTCAGCAGTAGGATGTAGATGCTCGAGTTGTTAATGAATAGGAGAAGAATCAACTCTTTGTTGCATCATGTTTTGCAAGCAATGTTTCAAGCGAGTCGTGGTTGATTGACAACGGATGCACAAATCACATGGCTAATGATAAAGAACTCTTCAATGAATTGAAGCCTACTCGAGTTGCAAAGATTAAAATAGGCCATGGTGGTCACATTCCAGCAAAAGGAATAGGAACTATTGGAGTTGAGACACAAGCAGGTACAAAAACAATAGCAGATGTTCTTTATGTACCTGGCTTAGACCAGAACTTATTAAGTGTAGGTCAACTGTTAGAAAAAGGTTTCAAACTTCATTTTGAAGATAAATATTGCTTGATCAAGGATTCCTCAGGCCAGGACTTGTTCAAAGTCAAAATGAGAGGAAAAAGTTTCTCATTAGATCCATTTGGGGATGAGCAGATGTTGTATTCAGCAAAAGCAAATTCCTAACAGGTAGTGTGGTAAAATAGTCATGTCAATCATTAATACACTTGTCAAGTCTAAATGTGACGAGTAAAAGTGAACGGAGGGGTACTTTCAAGATTTAATGATTTACTTCTCAAATTTCTACTATTTTTAATTTTCAGTCTTTATTCTTTAATCTTCATACTTTCACTTTCACTTTATCTTCTTATTATTTGATATAACTGGCTAAATTCTTATCAAGAGGTGATTACAAATTTAGGTAGTTTTGAAACCAACGCTCAAGACCTAAATGAGTTATGATATGTTTGTCATGTAATGGAAAAATTGAGATGCTATTATGTAGATTAAACATATCAAAGGTGTTGGTGCGTCATGTGATTGAAAGGCAAGAATAAAGATTGAGGCAAGTTGAGGACAAATATTTTTTGTGGCCTTCTCTCCAAATGCATGATTTCAAAATATGATTTAAAATGTTGATTTGTGCTCGTGATACCATGAGTTTTGATTAACTACTGTTATATGCACTATCTTGATTCCATATGAAGTGTTAAAGACTTATTTTGCATTATGAATTGAAATATGAAGTAATGCCTATGTTGCATGTATTTTGTTTTCAAGAATGATCCTACAATATGAATGTGAACATTATGATGACTATGATCTCCATATGATTTTGATACAAAGTCCATCACATATTTGCACCTAATCTATATATCGGAATGTATAAGTGTATAGTGAGGCCTTGAATGACAAGAATATTAGTTGAGGTTAATGGTGTGACATTTGGAATATTTTTATGAAAACTAGCCCAATAGTGTCATATTGTGTATGAAATGCTTTTGGAGTTGCTATAAATAACGGAGAAGAGTAATTCATGGTCCTAATTGTGGCACATCTTGTCTCGCCTACAGGTAGTACTCTCAGCATAAAGGATATGCTTATATTATTATTATTATGATTATGGCCCCTAGAGAGCCAAATATGACTTTTTCAGGAACGAGATCAATTGCAAGGATGCATATGCACATTATGAGTTATAGTTGGCATGTAAAGATAAATGTTCTACTTATGTCATATATTATGCATGTTTCGTCACATTTTGTCCCACAACTTGAGGAGTACGTCTGACACTTCGTGCACATGGCACTCACGACTTTGTCTGCGTATTGTCATTGTTTCATTACAAGGACATGAGTTGTAGGTGACGTGCACATGAGCTAGAGTTCATCCTCTCCTCCATACTTTTGGTGAACCACATTATATGTTCGATGGAGGCCTAGTTTACATAATTCTTTTGCACAACCATTTACGTCCAGAGTATTTTCCATTTGGTTGTCCTAGAGGCTACATAGATGTACTTTGGGTTATTTTGTATTCGATATGGATCCTCATTACGACATACCTGAATGAAATAGTATCTCTTTTATATGATGAGGCTAAAGAGCCAATACCTATGTTATTCGTTAAAATGATATTTCATTTGGCAAGTTAGATACATTTGTCATATATGGGTATATGAAAAAAATAGGTGGTTTGCTTGGAAGGGAGTTAAAGGAACCAAATGTCTGTCACACACTCATTCTGCTTTGATCTCTTTTTGTTGTCTCTGGATGAAAGAAATAAGACACGTGCTTGGGTGCTAAAGAAGTCATTCCAGTGCACTAAGCTCCCTCTATGCTCAGGATCCTAGAAAAGGTTTAATCACGTTGGGTCTATTGTATGCAGCATATCTTGCGTTTTTGCATGAGGTTGTTTCTACGACTTGAACTTGTGACCTCCTGGTCACACCGTGGTAACTCTTACCGGTGCTAAGTATTAAGAGGGTGTCTGGATTGAGTTATATTAAGTAGCTTTTAAGCTCCTTTTTTATTTTGGAGGTGTTTGGGAAAGATGGAAAGTGTTTTTAAGCACCTATTTTTAGACCAAAAAAGTACAAAAATAAGCTAAAAGCCATAAGTTAGGTATGACCAACTTATGACTTCTAGCTTTTTAACTTATAAGCTACTTTAAAAAGAGTCAATCCAAACACCGCCTAAGTCTAGTTCTCCGTCCGCTTGCCTATCTTACTAGGATATTGGAACAGTTTCTGATTTCAAAGAAAAAGTTGAAGGGAGAGCTATACCTTCGGGAACCGGAACAATAACTACTATAAAGTAAGAAGGAATGATCCCTAAAGCAAAGACTCTGGAAATTTTATTTTTTTTTAAAAAAAGGATGAAGTAATCGGAATGACAAGTGTTACAGTTGTGGAAAGCGGAGAACATAAAAAATATCTATTTTTAACATGCAACTACTTCTATAATGTCTATTTATAACATGCAACTACTTCTATAATGTTAAAATATAATGATACATTTGATAGAAAGAATATAACGTAAGTGTTGACCAACTTCATGCATCCCAGAAGTTGATTTCATTCTATAAAGACAGTGAACAGATTATCCAAACCATCTGCTAAAAATCAAGTCCACAAGCAATTTTTGTTAGTTAGTTAGTTGGTATTTATTAGGTGGCTAACTAGCAATAGTACCAAATGATAGCTGATGTTGGGAAAAGGCAAAACGATATTACAGAGGTACCCATCAAATACAAACACAAGATTTCAGAAAAATAAATATATATATATATATATTACATGACTGTTTCTGTATATGTGCATGCCACAACATATATTTAATCAGCTAAGCTCTATAATTGACATTAGACTAGAGATTGCTTTAATTGGAACAGAAAGTTAGGAAACATCTCTTTGTTCAGAAGGTGAAAATTTTCTTTGGAACTGACATGAAGATTCTTTAGTTTCATTCTTCTTTTCCTTTTATAATTTTTTTCCTTTTTCTTGGGGAAAATTCAAAGGAACCTATTTTCCAATATATGTCTAATCTATCTATTCATCAATCAACAATGTTACTATTAGACGAAATATTTTGTTGACTCACCGGATGTAGAAATTCATTATAGTCGATGACAAATATGCTTCAGGTGCTAGAGATTCCATGTCCAAACAACAAATTTCAACGGATTCGGGATCAACCCTATGTCAGTGCAAAAACAATAAAGAAATCGTAAGCAATCAAAAAAATGGTACTCCCCAAGGTAATAAGTAATGCATACTGGATCAATAAGGTTGTGATTCATGTCATACCGTGAAGGATAGTATATCGTGGTTGCCTTTCTGCAGGAAAAAGAGGAATATAAGAGATATCAACAATTTCTCACTAGCACTCATATCAGATGTTGGTATGTAACTTTGAGAAAATGTTAATTTACTACTCCCTCCGTCCCATTTTATGTGAGGTAGTTTGACTCGACACGGAGTTTAAGAAAGAAGGAAAGACTTTTAAAACTTGTGGTCCAAAATGAATGATAGAAATTTGTGTGGCGGTGAATCATTTTATTAAGGGTAAAAAATAGACATTTTATAGTTAAATTGTTACTTAATATAGAAATGTGTCATTCTTTTTGGGACTGACTAAAAAGGAAAGTAAGTCACATAAATTGGGACAGAGGGAGTAATATATTACCGTTCAATTACTTGGTCCACTGGCTCTGTCTCTTTAATTGCATCAGGATCCTCCTCATCCACTAGAACAACAGCCTGCCCCTGGGAAAATGATGAATTTTCAAATGGCAAGAAAGATCACATTAGGAATGAAGCAGAAGTTCATGGTTTCCAAGAGAATGAACTATATTCAGGGGGAAAAGAATAAATAAAGCAAGAGAGGCTACAACAATTCATCATGTCCCTCCAAAATGTCTTAGAATTTTTTTTGACTTATCATCGTCGTCTGCACTCTTCATCTGGTCAGGACAATTCACAACTGACACCAGACTCTTTGCAGGTTGCCGACTTGTGGCTGCGAACTTGTCTACGAAGAGTTCTCCCATTGCCGCTCATAAAGGTATTCGTTGTATTTGTAGTCCCAATCCTATCTATACTAGTCGAAATTATCATTGTTCGTTACCAGCTCGTTCTGTTTTTGTATCATCACTATCATCTATTACTGCTCGTAGGACTACAGGTGAACCTTTTTCTCACCCAGGCCAGCGACAAGCTATGATTAAGGAGATATATGCCTTACACTCTAGTGGTACTGGGGAACTTGTTCCTCTACCTCTAGGTAAGTCTCCAATTGGTTGTCATTAGTTATATACCATGAAGGTTGCCCTGATAGATAGATTGATAGAGCATGACTGGTTGCCAAAGGCTACACAGATTATTTTTTTTGACAAAGGTCAAAGGTTACACAGATTTTTCATCTTGACTATGATGATACCTTCACTCCTGTGGCTAAGACTGCTTTACTCCGTCTCTTTTTATCTATGGTTGTTCTTTACTTCTTGCTATTGGACTCTCTACCATATGAATATTACGAACGTTTTTCTTCATGGGGGTCTCAAAGATTGGGTATATATGGAGCAACAATCAAATTTTGTTGATCCGAGAAGATATAGGAGGTTGGTAGAAAAATTGCATTATCTCACTGCAACTCGACCTGACATTGCTTTCCTGGTTAGCGTTGTAAGTCAGTTCTTTGATTCTCCTTGTGACAACCATTGAAATGCAGTCATTCGCATTCTTCCAGACATAAATCTTCTCCAGGAAAAGACTACTTTACAAAGACTGAGGACATAAGCAAATCATTGGATATACAAATGAAGATTGGGCAGAGCCACCCTCTGGCAAACGATCCACCTCTGGGTATTGAGTTTTAGTTGGAGGAAATTTGGGGTTTTGGGGAAGTAAGAAACAAAATGTGGTTGCTCAATTAAGTGAAGAAGCTGAATAATGGGCTATGGCAATGGCTACATGTGAACTTATATGGACCAAGCAACTATAGGAGTTAAAATTTGGAAAAATAATAAAATGGAATCGGATAAACAAATGCAGATTGGGCAGATCTGGCAAATGATCTACCTCTGTGTATTGAGTTTTAGTCGGAGGAAATTTGGTGTTTTGGAGAAGTAAGAAAAAATATGTGGTTGCTCAATTGAGTGCAGAAGCTGAATAATGGGGCTATGGCTATGGCAATGGCTACATGTGAACTTGTATGGATCAAGCAACTATAGGAGTTAAAATTTGGAAAAAATAATGAAATGGAACTTGTGTGCGATAATGAGGCTACATTGATACACTTCAAATTGAATTGAATCCAATATTTTACGAGAGGAAAAAACACATAGAAATTGCTTGTTATTTAGTCGGAGAAAAGATACTCTGAGGAGACATCACTGCAAAGTTCGTGAAGTCAATTGATCAACTTGTAATATATTCACCAAGTCTTAGCCAGTCGTAGAACAAGTAATATGTGTAGCAAGAGTGGTATACACGATTTGTATGCACCAACTTGAGAGAGAGTGTAGAATCCTTAGGAATAATCTAGAATATATATGTAAATATATTAGATCACTTGATTTAGTCCTATTGTAATTATATAGTGATTTTCTTTCTTTTTTAACAAATGTAAACATATTTATGTAAGCTCAATAGCTTGATGGAATAGTCAAGTCAAATTCTCTCTTATTTTTTCTTCTGTTTCACATTTCTGATCATTATTCCCTAGTAAACTTCTAATTTATATTGAAACAACAGAAAAAAGGAGGAGCTAAGTGGTTAAAGTATTAATAAGTTCATCAATCAATGTATACCTACTGCAACTAACCACCTCCCACCCCCTAAGGGAGGAAGAGAAGGAGAGAAAGAAAGAGGTAGTGGTGCACTGGAACAACCATCTTAGTCTTTAGCATGTGAATATTGATAATCAACCAAAGGTATTGCCTGAAACTGTAACAATGTCGTACACTAGTGACCGATTTGGGTGTAGGCCCGCACAACTGTAAAATGTGTCAATAAGGGTCTAAGACTTGTTATCTTATATACTCAGCATTTCTCCCATGTTTTCTCGATGTTCAATTTGCCTAGGGTATCACATACACCTTCCCTTGCGGATTCAACATTCTCTTTGAGGTTTGCCCCACCATCGCTCAAGGTTGTACGCAGAGTGACCCTGATACCATCTACAATAGCCTAGCCCACTGCTGATATTGTCTACGTTGGGCCTAGAAACGCGTCACTAGGCTTTAGGGCTTGTTTTCTTATATACCCAAACATTTATCCCGAGTTTGTCAATGTGGATTCCTAGTGTCACAGAAAGCCAATAGCAACTCCCAAAATACCAAATGCAAGTTGTCATATTGACAAAAAAATAGCTACACGCCTACATGTAAGCTAGCTGGAATAGGATAACTAAGATACATAAGAAGCCTTACATTTGCATGCCTTCGAGTATATGAAGATTGTGCTTGAGAGGCTTTAAACCTGAAAAGAAAAAGATCAAATCACTAGCAATCACGTTTTCCTTTGGTTTGATTATTTATAATAGAACACCAAAAGGTACAAATTGCAGCAAAGGAGAGGCAGGAAAAGAAATGAATAATTAAACAAGTCAAAGTTTCATGGCTCATGGATTTATAGCAAACAAGTACAACAAATAATTCTAAATGTAGCTTGAAGATCACAAGTGCCTCTTGAGAATATCAAATTAATATCATGACCGAAATGATCTCCTGAGTAACTTTGGACTTGAAAGAGAAATTCAAGAGAAAAAAAAAAAGAACAACTACTATTACTACACCTCAATCCCAAACAAGTTGGGGTAAATATGAATCCTCACTTTCATTTGAGATCATTTAGTATCATCATCATCATCATGCTAAACAAAATAAAATAAAAAGATAAATATTAATAACAATAATATTAAAAGTTATTTGACAAGTCTAAGACCTATCATCAACTAGTAGTTATCAACTATATGGATCCTTGTGCCCTATCTTTGGCTAAGTCTGCATTGATACCAAGTATTTATAGGTCTTTCGAGACAACTTCCTTCCATGTGATTTTAGGTCTACCTCATCCCCTTTTTAACACTTTTACTTACCATAGTTTCAGAACTACATATCAGTGCATCTGTAAGTCAATTCAGAACATGTCTGAACCATCTAAAGCAACCTTCTTGCATGTTATTCTCAGTCTGTGCTACTTGCACCTTTTGAATCATTCAAAAACAAGAAAAAGTACACATTCTCAAAGCATAGGGCTCGGGTTGATAAGGGATGGGATAAGGGGGGTTACAATTACCCTATCTCTTAACCAGATTTTGGTTCATTTTTTGGTGGATTCAGATTATGAACCCTATTCAAAATTGGTGTTCATTTGCTTAGGTAAGCAATCAATCAGGTCTATTGAACCGATAAGCAATCTCATGGGGGTGGACGATCAGCATTCCCATGGGATTGCAGGATAGAAATCCTATCCTCCCTGAAAATGACACAAAATACATATCTTACTTAGTGGAAACTGGAAAGTACCTACGGCTCCAACCTTACGGTTGTGGGTTAGAGTCACCATGTTACCTTATTAAAAAAACAAATAGTTTAGTCTAAAAATAATTCTTAAATCCCTTTCACAATCATCTAAAAACAATAACCCCCTACAACGAGCCTTTTGAATGTTGAGGTTAAGTCACGTGCCTTTTTTTAAGTTTAAAAGTGATGAATTTCCTTAACATTGATTAATTTATGTTGTGGATTTTTTTTCTTAAACGTGAATAAAATATTGCTGAATATTTTTCCTTAACAATGATGCTATATGTTGCTTATTTATTTCTCCAAAATATTACCCCTGATTAAATCTGTCAGACCCGGATTGGAAATATGGGAAAAGAGGTAGTGAAACCAATAGGACTGCAGTTATATGTCTGTTCTACGACAAGATGTTTGTAGGCGGAATTTTTCGCCACAAACATCTTATTGGTACTTATAGCGATGACACACGATGTACAAAATGCACGAAAGTTGTGGAGGAAAAAATAAAAAACTATGTTGAGGGAAAAAGGAGCTAAAACGTCAAATGCTTACATCAACTAAATGTGACTAATCTTGATGATGCTGATGAAGAAAAAAATGGAAGAAGATGAAGCTATTGATTTGTCGCTTCTTGCAAAATCACAAAAACGGGCAAGAATACAATAGTCTCTTCAGGTAGTGGATCAACATGTAGGAAAGGTCCTTTAGATAGTTACTTTTCACAGAAGCCAGGAGATAATGCAGGGAAAAAGGATAAAAAAATTGCATGATGTTGCCAAGGATATTTTGAGGGATCATGCAGTTGTGACTTTTTCACGGTGGGTGAACAATGCAGGGATCACCTTCAATTGTGTCAACTATACGGACACTTTTAGAGCGTTCATTGAGGTCGTAGGTCAATTTGGTTCAGGAATGACCCCCCCCCCCCTCCCCCCACTTATCATGAAGTAAGAGGTCCTTATCTAACTAAAGAAGTGGAAGAGACAAATTCTAGAGGAACATAGGGTAGAATGGAACAAGTTTGGATATTCCATTATGATGGCTAAGTGGATGGCAAGAATTGGTAAAATGATCATCAATGTGTTGGTGAATTCTCCAAAAGGAAGCTTATTTCTTGAATCCACTCATGCGAGCGACTTGCCTACAGATTCCATCAAAATGTTCTCCTTGTTTCGAAACACTACAAAAAAGATTGGAGAAAAGAATGTTGTTCAAGTTGTTACAAATCATGCAAGTGAAAATGGTAAAGCCGGCGATATGTTAAAGGGAGTGTTCCCGCACATTTATTGGACTCCATGAGCAGCTCATTGCATAAATTTGTTGTTCAAGAACGTTTTCAAGAAATGACCCTTCACTACAATTTTTACTTAGGCAGTAAGGGTAAATTCTTACATTGTTCAAAGGCTTTTGTTATTGAATATGATGAGGAGATTCACAAAAAAATTAGTGAAACTTGGCAAGACTAGATTTGCAACTGCTTTCTTGACCTTGCATAGTATGCACATGCAAAAGGCCAATTTAGACGCTTATTCATTTCTTTTTTTTGGTTTCCCACCCGGTGTCCGGAGCCCACATTGGAGCTCCGACTAAATCCGGATCGCGCTCTGCAGGGCCCATTCGGGGGTGGCGCTCCCAACAAGATTTTCTCCATACCCAGGGATCGAACCCGAGACCTCTGGTTAAGGGTAAAGCACTCCCACCAGTGCACCACAACCCATGTTGGTGACGCTTATTCATTTAAAAAAAAATGGAACACAAGTAATTTGCAAAAAGGAGGTAGGGGGTAGAAGTTGCACGCATGAATCTTTCTTATACTTCTTGGAACAATATTGTTCATGCTCTTAAAATCAATGGTCCCTTGATTAAAGTACTTCAGTTGGTGGATGGGGAAAAACCCACTAATGGGCTACCTTTATGGAGTTGTGGATACAACTAAGGAGGCTATTCAAGCGACATTTATGTACATAAATATGCCAAGGTCTTTGAGATAATTGATAGACGGTGGGAAGATCAACTTCATTGACATTTGCATGGAGTTGGGAATACTTTGAACCCATCACTCTTTTATGATAACTATGAGATGGATTTACTAGATAAAAAAAGTGTGGAAAGGATTCCATGATTGTGTTGGTAAGTTGGTCGCCAATGAAGATGTGCAAGATACAATAGTGGATATGGTGATCAAGTGCTAAGTTATTTTTTAAACTTATTAATTTTTAAATATTTGTTCTACTTCAATATTTAAATTGTGGAAGCTTTATGGTTTAGAAACTCAAAATTACAAAATATCGCCATCAAAGTTCCAAGTCTAACTAGTAGCTCAACTGAAATGTGAGAAGAACTAGGGCATGTTTGAACATGTGAGAACTATGAAGAAAGATTTATTATACTGAGATAACTAAACTATATCTCAATTGTCCTATCTCCTAATAATTACTTTTGCAGATTCATACCAAGAAGAGGAATAGACTAACCCCTAAAGCGCCCCAATGACCTAGTGTTCAATTAATGCAATAAAATATTGAGGCGCCGTTACAATGCTCGCAATGTAGTTGATCCAATTATTTTGGAAAATATTAATGATGCTAATGAATGGCTAACCGGAGTCCCTGAGAATCATGAAGATGAAGCAATTTTTTTGGGAGATTTTGATTTCACTTGGGGTGTTGCTGCGGAGGCAAGTGGAGTTGAGGAGAACCATTATGGTTTAAGGGGGAATACTTCAATCTTACACATGAAGGGAAAATAAGTAGCTACAAGTCTATCCCTAATTGATGGAATTGAAGAATATGATGATGGAGTTGAAGAAGAAGATAATTAGCAATAGAAAAACCATGGAGGAATATAAGATTTAGACAATCTTGTAGAAGTAGAATTTTAGAAGAATAGGAACTAAATGTTGAACCATTAGTAGCTTTGATTTTGTATGTCCTATGGTCTATGGAGGATTTTGTGATATCTATTTTTTTAGTTTTTAATTTGAACTTCTGCTTATAAATTTTGTCTCTTTTTATTTTGGTCTTTTGTTCGTTCAAATTGTGTTGAAGAGAGCACTTCGCTTATAGCGTGAAGCGGAACCTTGTCGCTTTTTTCCGCTTCGCACTCCTCAAAACACTGGACATGGGCCTTTCAAAAGATAAGTTTCCAGATGTTTGTAATTTGGTTCTTTCACCTAAAGCAAGATTGAGGAAGTATGGGGACAGGACTAATGGAATCTCAACTTTAGAAGATTTTTGAATGACTGAGGTTCAAAGAGTTGCTGAATTTTTCAAAGTTTGGGAGCCTTTTCAAGGTCTTAGAAGAAATGAAGACATAGTGGTTTGGGAAGGAAACAGTAAGGGTTGCTTGACTGGCAATTCTGCTTATTCTCTACTTCCAAATACTGGACTACAAGGATCTAATAGGCCTTCGAAATTCATCTAAAAAGTAAAGATCCCATACAAGGTGACTTGCTTTTTGTATCTGGCGGCAAAAGAGGTATGGTCAACTCGGGAAAATTTTGAATAGAAGGGGTTTCCAACTGTGCTCCAGGCGCTTTTTATGTAGAGCTGAATCTGAGAGTATCAACCACCTTTTTTGCATGGCCGTGTGACAGATCAGTTTTTGCAGCTGTTTCTTAACATAGTTGGGATCAGGTGGGTCATGCCAGAGTCTACATGTTATCTCTTAAAGTGTTGGAACAACAATTGTGGTAGCACGAGTCAGAAGAAGTGGTGGAACATGGTTCCAGCATGCATTAGGTGGACTATATGGAAGGAGAGAAATACAAAATGCTTTGAAGATTGAGACGAATTGTACTTTTTGTTTCATTTTTGGTGTAAAAAAAGCTTATTAGAGGATGCAGAATCTTTCCTAGACATTATGGACTCCCTGTGAGTTAGAACAGGGACACAGTTCTGCCTTTTGAATTATAGATATGGCTTAAGCACATCCTTTGTGCTGACATTAATATATTGTTATCTTCCTTAAAGAAAAAAAGATCACTCTAATTTTGGGCCATTGGTTGCTTAGCTCTAGTTCTCTGATAATAACATTTTAGAAATGAACATGTTCTACAGATCAAACTAGAGACTATTTTGTGCAGTTAAGTAGAAAGGAGTATTATCCAAAAAGATAGTTGAATGAAATTGAATGAGGAACATCAGTACAGGAAAGGGTAGGGAGATCAAAGATAAGGAATTATCCACTAAGATTTCTGAACGAAACTGACTAAGAAATCTCAGAATAGAAAAAGGTCTGGCTTATCAAAGATTAGGCTGCAGGAATTTCCTTTTTCTCATTGCTTGGCCATAAATTCTAAAGGACCTGATGCTTTGTGTTGCAAAGTAAATGCATTTGTGCTCCAGTTTATATTTATAACTACCAACTTAGAAATTATAGTTCTTTTGAAACTACTTGCAGCAAACAGAGTGTAATTAAAGTATACAAGGATAGTTGCAGAATAAGAACTACAGAGATCACATTTGGGAGCTACTGTGCAATCACATAATCATAGAAATGAACATTGTTCTGAGAGAGATATTAAACTACTTTTACACCCCTACACTCTTGTGCATGTTACTCTACAGCAAGTCAGCAAAGTAAAACTGCTGAAAAGAAGCCATGTCATATTTAATACTCCATATGTCAAACTGAAAGTTGAGATTTCAACTCTGGGCCATCTGAAAACATTGTCCAACTTCCTGAAATAAAATACTTTGTCAAGACTCTTCAACATATTTTACAGCAGTACATAACCTTTTGAGAAAATGTCGCATTTAAAATATACAATGGAGTCATGACAAAGTATTCTATTTCATGAAGGTTGACATAGTTTTCAGATGGCTCAAAGTGGAAATCTCAACTTTTTGTTTGAAATATGGAGTATTATTAAAAAATGATTTTACTTCTTTTCAGCAGTACATAACTTATAAAGCAAAAATATGAGCAGCTTTTTTTTTTCTTTTCGAATTTAGATCTCTGAATAAACAGGAGCAGCTTTGACACTCATGTTGATCTAAACAAAAAATTAGTGGACCCCATCTTTCACAATGAATCTTATGCAAATACACTAATTCCTAATGAGTTATCTCATCTCAAAAACAAATTCATAATGAGTAACAGCTTCCAGTAATAACCAAAATAATAACAGCAACAATAAAGTGACAGAGCAGACAAATTATCTAAGAAAGTTAGGGAAATAGAAGAACCCAAAAAAACAAAACACGTACTTGTCCAAGAAACAGCTGGCGATATTTTCTTTAGAACGAGTAGAAGAATCCCATCCTTTTAGATCAACATTCAGAACTTGTTCACCTTTGTCTACAGAAGACTTATAAGGTGCTTCCTGTGACAATAACTCTCGCTTGTGTCTTTTTCTTTGTGAAAACTGGTTGTTTAATATACTTTTGCGGTCACAGGGATTCAGAGCATATAGTTCTTCTTGGAAAGCATTGGCTGGCTTAGACTCTGCCTGCAATTCAATAAGCAAAAGTAACAAAAATTAATGGTTAACTTCAAGAGGAAGAAGAGAAATGAATTTAAGAATGAAACTGTACTTCTGCTTCCAACTTGTTCAAAAACCAAACAGCATAGGTGGACTGTGAAGAGGACACAGATGGTGAAGCCTGTGGCTCGAAGTTATAAGGTGCACCTATAAAGTTATATCCAACTTTTAGGCTCTCCTTCTAGAACTAATTACATAAGTAAAGAAAATTAAAATGACAAATAATACTCAGTTCTGATTCCCACATAGTTACCCGTGTACATGCACATGCACACCAAATCCAAAGTCACTCCTGTTTATAAGAAGAAACTCACAAAATACCTAGAGTGAACTATAAATCTCTTCAAGATAAGAAGTAGGCTAGGCACACTAGGCATAGGCAGAATGTGTGCTCTTTATTCATGCATCAGTTTCAGAACTATATGGAAGCATGGAATTCAAGATATAGAAAAGCTCCTATAGAGTCTAGTAGAATTAAGATGAAAAAGTAATAGAACAACAACAACATACCCAGTGAAATCCCACAAGTGGGTCTAGGGAGGGTAGAATGTAAGCAGTCCTTACCACTACCTCGTAGAGATAGAGAAGCTATTCTGAAAAACCATCGGCTCAAGTGCAGCAAAGTCAAATACAAAGAAGGAGACAGTGAAGAAAATATAGCAAGTAACAAGGAAACAGTGCAAAGTCATCTACCAGAAGGAAGCAAAAACAACAACAAAATAGTGCGACAATCAAAACACAATAAACAACATACTAGGATAGATTATTGAAAACAATAATAAACAATGATAGATATAAAAACAAGAACTACAATAGTACAACTAGTGCAATGGTAAACACTCACCCTAAGCAAGACAACACTACACTACCTACTAACCTTCTACCCTACTACATGTCCTCCACAACCTCCTATCTAAGCCATGTCCTCAGTAACCTGAAGTTGTGTCATACCCTGTCTTATCACCTCTCCCCAATTGATTATGTTTGTTCACCTCTCAGGAACTCTGAAGATTCATTGCCTCTGTACTCCCATTTTTCCCAAAGAAACTTCCCTTAATTTAAATATATAAAAACTTGTAGAGTAAAGATAATAGAAAAACTTAACATAGTCCCAACTAGGAGTGGCAAACGAGCGGATCGAGTCGACTATGAGTCGATCGAAAACGAGTTAAAAAAAAATGGATACAGTACTAGACTCCACTCATATTTTAAATGGGTAAAAATGAGTTACCCAATGGATAATATGGGTAAATATGGATACCCATATTATAATAGGAATCTTGTTAAAAGCTTCAAAAACAAAATCTTTTTCAAAAAAAATTTATCACCCCACCCCTACCAGCCCCCCCCCCCCTCCCATCCAAAAAAAAATAAAAAATTTCTAACTTTTTTTATTAAAAAAATTAATTTTTTTTTAAAGTTTTTTTACCACCCCACCCCCCTACCACTTTTCTTTCTTTAATGAATGAACATCTTTTACCCATTTAACTACCCACTTTAAAATGGATAATATGAGTATTATTCGTTTTTACCCCTTTTAAATGTGTTGGGTACCCGACCCATTTAAAATGGGTAAATATGAGTGGATACCCATATAAATTACCCATTCTACCACCCCTTGTCCCAACACACACAAAGAAATGGGAAGTATTGACCTTATCAACAGAACAAAAGTCATGCCTCATGCACCCATCAACTTGGTGTCAACGCAGAAGTAGCAAGGATGCTCAATTATATTATCATTGAAGAGGATAAACATATTCTTTCGAAGGTGGACTGTGGAATAACTGAGAACATCATTATCATTATAAATCAAATCCAGAAACCACCTATACTATTGAACTAAAACAGCATGATTGTGGAAAAACAACAAAAATGCAGAATTTAATGTCAAGACTCATGCAAATCCCATTATGAAATATAGATGTAATGGGTTTCAGTAAAGAGTGTTTTGCCATCTTACTATGGTGCTAGGGTCTGCAATCCAAGAAGGAAGAGTTGGAATGCAGCATCTCAGAATTTGGACTGGTCCTTGAAAAAAGAACAATTTATGAAGTGGAAAATCTGAAAGAGCAGGAGGATTATTGGAAGACTGCCTTTTTCTTTTATGAAATAAGAAGTTCTCACTGGCATAAGGCAACTGGATGGTGCCATATTACAAAGCAGAAGCTTGAGAGCTTTTGGACCAAAAACAAAAGCTAGTAAGCTTTGGAAGTAGAAACTAAGTTAGACTACACAATAAACATGGAGCTAACGAAGTCCAGGAAGTTGTCAATGACTCAATGCTATTAACAGGGGAGGAAACGCTCCAACTGAACAAAAAAAAAAAAACATCTACCTTTTAGAGCATGAAGAGGAGTTGAAATCCGATCAAAACACCTGTGGTTTCTCTCATTCCAAATAACCCAAAAAAAGACTGCAAGAACCATCTCCCAGACTTTTCTGATGGCTTTGTCAGCTCTCCTATTGTTTCAAAGTTCTTTCCAAAGGTTCTCAGATGCCTCAGGACTTCAGGCTAATCCAGACAAAAGCTCAATCTATCCGAGTGGTGTGAATCAAGCACTTAAGCAGGAAATCTTATCTATTCTTGGCTATATGCAGGGAAAATTCCCTTCAAATACTTGAGTGTCTCCCTATACTTCAAAAGGCTCACAATTGGCCAATATATGTCACTAGTAGATAAGATCACAACAAAATTAGGTGTTGGTCAGGAAAGTTATTGTCATATGCAGGAAGTGTTCAATAAATTAAGTCAGTGGTCTTTGGTATTCAAATCTACAAGGCACAAATATTTGTGTTACCTAAGAAGATATTGAAACTTATAGAGGGTATCTGCAGATCCATTCTCTGGACAGGGGCAGCAACTCTGTCAAGGAAAGCACTTGTCTCTTGGGACATGATTTGCTACCCAAGAGCTGCAGGAGGGCTCAACATCCTGACTCTTTCCTTGTGGAACAATGCTACTATCTTAAACAATTATGGGCTGTGGATCAAGTGGGTGTATGGGTATTATTTGAAAAGGGAGAATAAGAAGAATCATACTATCCCAGGTAATACAACTTGGGTAGTTAAGAAGATCCTGGATTCCAAAAAACACATCATGCAGGTTACTTCATGTTATCGGGACCTTTTAACTACACTCCAATCTATGGTGGTGGGAGGTAGATTCTCAATTAAGAAACTCTACACTCGGCTCATGCCACAATATCAGAAGGTAAGGTAGTGTTCTTTAGCAAAATATTCATCCTAAACATAAATTATGTCGATGGTTAGTCGTTTGGAGAAGATTAGCCACAGTAGATAGATTGCTTATGTTTGGGATTCATGTGCCAATGGAGTGTGTATTCAGTGACACTGTACAAGTAACTTTTGGGCCAGAATGCTTCAATGGTTAGGCTTCCATAGGAGTATTGACTGTTGACAAGAACTTTTATGGGCTAGTCGATGGGCAAATAAAAAAACTGGAAGAGGAGCAGTTAAAAGTTATGTGTTTGCGATGATAGTTTCTACCATCTGGAGGGAGAGGAATAATCTCAGATTCCAAAATGGCCACTTCCAGGAGGTTAGAATTTGCTGAGAGATAGCACTGAATATGCATATTCGAGGCAGAGACAACAAGAAGTGGAAGGATCCCTTAGACAGCCTTATTATCATGCCATGGCTTTATTGATCTATAGGCTAGCTCCTGTCATAGAGCAATTTTTTTTGTTTGACTTATTGATGAAGTACAGTATCTTTATAATAGCCTAGTCTTTCAGAATAGTTGTCCTATAGCTGCAAATTTTCTTTGAGAAGTAGGAGGTCAACTCCTATTTGGCTTGTACATATTACTTTGGTATCAATACAATTTTGTTCTTAACCAAAAAATATATATATATTAAGCTTGCTCCATAGGATACAGGTGTCCTACGTAGAACATTTTTTCGCTTCAACACCATATTTTCAATGTAAATAGGAGTGTGTTAAGAAGCTGAAACGGTCTTTCGTTTTTGTGTATGTCTGTATATTCTTGTATTAGATAGGTTCCCCAAGGTTGATTTGCTACTTTCACAACTTGGCATCATGAATGAGCTTAACTTCTGGATTTCATTGTTCTCATCAGCATAAATATTCAAGATTCCCTTAAGATGGAGCAAATAAACAATATGGACGGAACTTGTTAAAAGTGGCAATCTATTTCTTTATGCTTAGTTTTTCGAGAAAAATTGAATTATGTGCAATGCTTCTTAATTATAAAAACATAACTTTCTTTCATATGACTGTAAACTTCAATTCTTCAAGTAATTAGTCCATCCACATGAATTCACAAGTTGTTGTTGCTGCGAGTCAATATTCAGCTTCTGTAATAGATAGAGTCACAATGTTCTGTTTCTTACTTTGCGATGATACAAGCGTCTAGATATAGATCATCAATCAATTAGTGAACTGGTTTAATCTGCATTTAAGTATCCTATACTATTGAGTATTCCTTTTTTTATTATGGCATTCATACTACAATCCTTGATATGGTCTTGATCTATCTTAAAATCCATAGAAGGCATCCCACATGAAGACTGCATGAATATACTTACTACATCTATAGCAAAAAAAAATGTCTAGCCTGAGAAGAGTGAGATAGCTTAATTTCCCAATCAGCCTTCGATATCCTATAGGATCTAAGATGTATCCTCCTAATATGGTAACATCATAAATTTAAATCCATGGGACCAGCTTTGTCCATCATATTGGTTTCTTTAAGAATATCTAACACATGCTTCGTATGTAAAATAATAATACACCATTCTTGACTAGGTGATGCCAATGCCTAGGAGATTGTTTAAATGATCTAGATCCTTGGCTTGAAAATTTCTGGCAAGACGTTTCCTTAACTGGTTGACCTTCTCGGTAATTTTCTGTAATGAGTCTAATAACTATGTTGCTTACTATACCACCAGATAAGCACATTAACCAGGTGGAATATGACAATCAAAGACTGAGTGATCTGCTTCACTGCCTTCTCTACAAAAATTTTGAATAACTATACAGAACTTTCCAACCCTAGCTCATAGAGAATGTTTTTAATCCATAAAAACCTACATTTTGCAGGAAATGACACTCTACATAGTTCAGAATCTCACTACTCCTACTTCATACTTCTCCGAAATGTAAAAAGATGCTACATACTTCCCTTTTTTTTAGTCGAATTGGCCATAATGCAGATGCTACACACTGCAATTTAATAACTATTGTCTTGTACAGCTGACTGTAAAGCATAGGATAAATCAGAAGTTAGTCTATAATAGTCTTGTAGCAAGTTATTCTCACTAGAATTTCACAGCATGCACTGAATGCACGAGCAAGAAAATACCTACAAGCACACAATGCTAGAAATGGAACTGCGAAATCAAACAGTAATAAACAAAGAGGAATTGAATAAAATTCAAAGTCAAACCTGATCGGAACCGACCCGTTTCCTCCATTCTAATTCATCCTCATGCAGTTTGATATTTGCCCTAAGCTTTTCACCTCCATCGGGTAACCTAACACCAATGTTGCTAGACAGAGATTTTTTTAGCCTAGCAATTTTGCCGGTCAATTCTGTATCTGATAAGCTCGAAAGTCCTTCTTTGAGCTCTTCTCCATCCATGGTGATCGATTAATGTTTTTCAACAGGCAGCCGTGGTAAGGCGGAGTTAACCACCAGCTCCGCCGGAGAGTCGTCGCTGTGGAATATTTTCTATTACTCAGCGCTTCCTCTCCTTTTGTATGAACTGAAGAAGAGAAATGAAGTTATTGTTATTTGCAGTTCCTTTTTTGGTCTCATAATTACTATCCACATAAATTTTTGATTGTTTTCACTTCATGTGGTGAAAATGGGGTAGAAGTAGGGGTGTGCACTATTTGGATTAAACCGAATAATCAAATTAAATCAAATCAAATTTTTATTTGGATTGGTTTTTTAGTTTTTCAGATTGGTTTTGGATTAATAAATTACTTTGTTTGATTTATTGGTTTGGTTTTGGATTTTAAAAAATAAAAACCAAAAAACCGAAAAAAACCGAAATATATATATAAATGTTTAGGTTTAGAATTAAGTTGGAGTTAACCACTTTTGTCCTTTTTTGGTTATTGTCTTTCATCATAATTACATTTATATTTTATATTTGAGCATCTATAATAGGTATAATTATAAGTATTGTGTTTTAAGTTTTACTTATGATTTATATTATAAAGTATATTTAAGAGAATCAATATTATTACTTTGGTTATGTTATTAATCATTGACATAACTGAATAACCAAACTGAAAAAAGCCGAACCGAATAAAGGAAAACCAAACCAAACCAATTTTATTTTGGATCGGATTGGGTTACAATTTTACAAACCAAAAACCAAAAAATCCAAACCGAAAAACCGAATGCACACCCCTATGTAGAAGGGAGGGGTGGGGTGGGGAAGGAACAAAGAGATGTCCCATTATTTTTAGTCTTTTTATTTATCCTAGTTTTAACACACGTGCAACACACATGAATTTCAAAAGCATGTACTACACTATATTTTAAAAATAATGTGAATATTATTAAAAAATAATAGTAAGTAAATAATTATAAACTGAATGATAAAGTATAAGTTCATATGAATAAGGGATGTAAATTTTCTAATGATTTCTAATGAAAAGTAGTCACTCGTAAGATCTCTTAGTTACACCTCTTAAATATACTCTCCTTCCTCCTCCATAATGCATTAGTTAGTTATTATTGTATTGTTGGAGTTCTTATTTTTAATATAATATAAATAAATGTTTATATAAAATATAGAAGATATACTAAATTTGATGTTTTTAGTTGGAGTATTATATTTATTTAAAATTCATATGAGTGAGTGTTCTAATTTCACTAAACTTTGAAATTGTTTACGTCTGGAAATCAAACTATAGTTTATAAGAAGAGAAGAATAAAAAATATTAAAAAATTATAGTTCAAAAATGTGAGGAAACCCATCTATTTATAGTTAGTTAACAAAGTGTTGTACAAGCATATGCACATTTTTTCTTATCATAAAAGTCACAATCCTTCGGAAAGGTCACAACTTATCGAAAAAGTCACTACTCTTTGAAAAAGTCATAACCATTCAATTTAAATTGGTGCCTTCTTTTAATATAATATAATATAATATAAAATATAGAAGATATCCTAAATTGGGTGTTTTAAGAAGAAGAAGAAGAAGAAGAAAAACAAAATTGAAGCTTAAAAATTTGAGGAAACCCCTCTTTTTATATCCAACAAAGGATAGCATAGGAAGAAAGTGCTTATTGTGCCCTATAAAAAAAAAAAACAACCCTTTAGAAAAGTCATAATTCAAAAAGGTTACAACTCATCGAAAAAGTCATAACTTTTTGAAAAGTCACAATCCTTCAAAAAAGTCACAACTCTTTGGAAAATTCACATCCCTATAGAAAAGTCACAACTCTTTGGAAAATTCACATCCCTATAGAAAAGTCACAATTCATCAGAAAAGTTATAGCTCTTTGGAAATGTCACAACCCTCAATGTGAAAATTTGTCTGCCTTTAATATGATATAATATAATATACATAAATAAATATAATACAATATACAATATTAAAGATATACTAAATTTGGTGTTTTAAGTTGGGGGTATTATAATAATTTAACATTTAAGTTAGGTAGTTCATTATTTTAAGGTAGTATAGAATAAATAGATAAAAAAGATAGATATAGATTTGTCTAATTTTAATTTGATATGATTTTTTTTTTAAAAAGAAGACTTTTTAGTTTAAAGATATGTAGAATATATAAAAATGTCTTTTAACTTTGTGGTATTAAAGATGCACCCCTACCCCCAAGGAAAAAAACATTATATTTAAAGCTGAACAAAAATGAAAGTACAATAAATAAATTGGAAACACAGGAGTACTTATTAAATTTAGATTGGACTCTTTCAAAAAATAATTATCTTTTTTCTCCAATAATTTGAGACTTTTCACAACTTTAGCACCAAGTTATAGTTTGTGCAACAGAAAATCATTGACATTCTTGTCAAGTAGAAGTTGATGCAAAAGTATATTTATGACTATGAAAATGGATACATATTAATTATCTAGATAATCTTCTCTTTTGAAGTTGAGTTATTCCATTGTCATTGTTGTATCATTTTTTTTTATCTATGTAATTTACCCACAAGAAATATTGTAATTGCATAATTGAACAACTATTACAATCTTCATTGTTTTAAGAAGATGAACAGAAAACTTATAAAAGCTGTAGTTTAAAAGTGTGAGAAACCCCTCGATTTATAGACAATAAAGGATAGTATGAAAATGTGCTTATCGTGACTTATCAGATAAGTCACAACTCTTACAAAAAATCACAACGTTTAAGAAATGTCATAACTCATCGAAAAAGTCACAACCCTTCAGAAAAGTCACAACCCATCAATGTGAAAAAGTGTCAGCTTTTAATATAATATAGAGTAAATAAATATAATATAAAATATAGAATATAATAAATTGGGTGTTTTAAGTTGGGGGTATTATAGTAATTTAACATTCAAGTTTGAGAGTTCATGCTTTTAAGGTAGTATAGAAGATAGATAGATGTATTTCGAATCAAGAAATATAAAATTTTATAAAAGTATAATATATATCAATACTATTTTTTTAAATAAATATTTGAGTGAACAATTATACATTTACATTTACATACTATTCTTATTTTATGATATTCCACTTACACAATTTTAATTATAAATATTAAAAAAATATTGATTATATAGTTGAGATGATGAAGTGATAACAATGTGACAAGAAATTATTATTATATTGCATTTTCCGAAAGTCAATTTGATTAATTTTTAAAGTTAAATTAGATTACATTAATTCGATATTTTAAACAAAAAATTTAGGTATTCAAATACTAAACGAAAAGTACTATAAATTGCAATTTTTTTGCATATCAATATGATGAAAAAATATATTATGAAGTTTTAGTCAATATTCTTATAATTTAACTATAAGAAAAACCATAACAATTAAAAGTGGACGAAGGGAGTATAATATTGTGATTGGTCCCACCCACATAAGTGTGACTAACAAGCATGCATATCTTTCCTTTAATAGCTATATTTGTCAAAAGAGAGTATGTGAATAGATGATTGATCCATTGCAGTTTCATTTAAAGAAAAAAATAAATATAGCAGGGTGTATATATATATATATATATAAAAAGATAATCAATTTGCTTATTTTATAATTAAAGATTGTAATGATTGTCAAACTCATATTAGCAAAATTAATTGTAGACAAGAGGGAGGGGCACATATCAAAATGTAGGAAATGTTCAAAATTGAAAGAAAAAAAAACACAAAACTACACACAAGAAATGGAATATCTCCAACTTATATGTAAGACATAATAGTGGAGATATTAAATCTCCAATAAAAATAATAGGCTAGTATCAACATCAACTATTCTGAAGCAATAAATTTTAAGCTTCTAATCTTAAAAATGAAAAAAATATTGCATAATTATACAACCCCAATAGGGTTATACCACACAAATCAACTCATATAAAGTACATGTAATATAATTTAAAAAATACCACAATCTAACGAAGACTCATTAGATTACGATCTTAAGGACTCCTCCGATGAAGATTTAGAGGAATACTCTCCTATTCATGCAACTGCATATCCCAACTTTGATTTTAATACTCAGCACTTTTCAAACATGCATCCAGTTTCACATAATGAGGCATTTGAGAATTTGAGTGAAACAAACGAAGATGGAGAAAATGGTGGAAGACATTTTAATATCGAGACTAACCAAATTTCCTTCACAAATGAGCTTGCTTCACAACATGGAACAAATTTGGTTGAGATGGAAAATGAGAACGAGACACCTTATAATCTTGTTGATATTCCAATGTATGATGGAACAGGTCTTCCCCAGAGCCACTTGAAGGCATATCTTGATTGGTTAGCAAGCATATCGCAAGGAAATGAATTTAATATGAGACTTTTTGTTAGGACACTTACAGGGCTAGCCTTGATGTGGTATGCAAATCAAGATACATGGAAATGGTTCTCTTGGATAGATATGGCCAAGGATTTTCTTAAGCAATATGGGCCTCCTAATAGGGCATCTAAAGGGTGTGATTTTTTGAAAAGGAAATCTATGGAGTCTCTTGAGGGAATTAAAGGGCATGAATCCCAAATGAAAGTAGCAGAATCAATTTTGGGGCATTATTGTTTGAATAAGGTACAATCTAGAGACAAAGGGAAGACAATTGTCACTGAAGAATCAAATGTTCCTCCACTAGTGCTTGAAGCGAGAAAAACTCAAACTTTCACCCCTTTGAGTGAACCAATTTCATTTATATTTGAAAAGTTGAGATCATTAAAAAATTTGCAACCAAAATATCATGAAATTCCTTTGAATCCTTTTAACCTAGCCAAACAATGTACTTTCCATTCAGGCATGTTAGGTCACACTACCAATGAGTGTCATTATTTGAAAAAAGATATCCAAAAGCTATTGGATAATGGTATGATCCTTCAAAGATAGGTAGCTCGCCCTAAGTTTGTTTGGCATCAACTTTCATCCATCATGCCGACATCAAGTCACAATCAAGCAATTTACCCACAAGGTGTCAATCTAGCTCCTCCTCACAACCAAGCAACTGTTGGGTCAAGAATTATTGCATCAAATTTACCTTTTCATGCATCTTCTGCAAGCTATTATGA